CATGTTGATGTGTACACCCACAACTGAACTCCCCAGGTTTTTTATTAACAGTCTGTCAAGAGTATACATGTGTGAAGAAGTTTGGTGACAGCTGTGGGCTAAAATATGTTGATAGGGAATAAAAAACACAACTGATTTCAATGTTGACTCTACTTAATTTCACACACAAGTGTTAAAACATATTAGTGAGTATTTTACTGCAGTCTTCAGTCTTGCTCACTTTACCCTATAGGTTTAGTTACCAGAGGATTCGAACATATTAGGGGAACCCAATATATCCTAATACAAAATAATCTTTAATTTGATAGCATTATTTGCCAATCTTTTTTTTTTAATTGTTCATGAACAAACACCACCCTTTTAAAACAACCTCTACAGGAACAATCTTAAGTCACGTGAATACCATGCTGCACAGAGCTACGCAGTTCTTTAGGAGATTCTCTTTTTTCCTTTTGCAGACTAGTATTCTACACTTGTTAGGGATACTTACCGCAAAGGGATTTCAATGGTTACTAAAACCTAGTCCACTGTCATAAGCACTGCATCTTATAACCCTTTTGCCCTGTTCATAGGATTGGTAAAGTTTTGTGACTTAATATGTCCCAGAACTATTTTACTCTAATGGTTAGAAACCTTTTTTAAATTGCCAGCCTAAATTTATTCATAACCAGTTTATACCAATTTGGTTTTATGACAATGATGGCTTTTGGTTTAAATAGTTCATCTCACTGTATGACATGTATATTGACAGGAATTATATCCTCTTTCAGCTCTGTCTTTTTTTTTCCCCTAAAAGTGCCAAACATTTCCGCCTTAAAAGAAAAAGCTAAGCTCTTCCTTCCCCTGATTTTTCACATCTGTTTCAGATTTTAAATCATTTTGATTGAACAAAACTACACAGTATCCCTGAGGAGATTTCATCAGGACCTTATTTGATAGCATGAATACTTCCCTATCTCTGTAGAAAATACCTCTTCTGATACAATGTAGTCTTTCCATCCTGATAACCTCTCATATCATTCTGTTTGGATTTAAATTCCTTTGTCTGGATAGCTGATTTACATAAGAGGCACGGTATTCCCATTGCGTATTAAATAACAAATTATAAACTCGTTTTTCCTTGCCAAAATATTTACTAATATTAACTATATGAGCTACCTTCCATAAAATACTGACACAGTATTCCCACTAATTTAGAGGTTTTCAGCAGCCATCCAGGTGCTTTCCTGGCATTTCTCTCCATAGATAAGTGGCATGTTCTGAAGGCTAGACAGGGAGATAAGGCAAAGTGTAACTTTTATCTTTAAACTATATTATGCTTAAGTTAAGACCTCTCATAAGAAATTGGGCTCAGTTAATAAGTGTGCTCCTCAGTGCCAGCCTTTGGCTTCATCTCTACAATTTATAACAGATTCATGGTCAGATGAACACTTGTTTATAGAGACCAGGGAGTGTGGATACAAAGCAGCTGGTTTTTGCCTCATTGGCATACAGTTAGGGGGAAAATAGAAATGCTAGCACAGAGTCCATAGAGTCCATATAAATTTTTCCTAATTTTTTTAGTTTAAAAGTTGGACTCCATCTATTTTAAATGCAAACAGGTTATATAATTTAAGAACTGAAAAAAATGTAAGGCTACTGGACATTAAGGAAAACAATTGCCATGTCTATTTAGGTGCAACTAAACTTTAAAATCAGTCTGTCTCCTGTGATGCAAATGACAGGAATAAAACAAGTAGCACAACATTGTTTTACTCAATAGCTGAGAAATAATGACATTTCCATCAAGTTTCAAGTAATCTTCATTTTAACATTCTTTGTTGTTCTCTTTAATATGTGGTTTTCCAGTTCTCTGTCCTATTATCTTGATTTCAGTCATTCTATATCTTTCATGAGCCTGTAGTACATGACCTTGATCCCATTCGAATCAATGTCAAACAATGGTGCAAAATAAAGGCCTTCATCTCTGGCACTTTGGTATTTACATAAATATGCATTACCCAATTTAACCAAAAGCAGAATAACATGTATTCTCTGCTTTTGAATATGATTTCAATTATAATAGGGAATGCTATTTTGAAATTTAAAAAAAAAAAAAGGAAGTTAATGATTTAATTGAGATTTTATTTTTTTCTACGTCATTACTGCCTCTCCTGAGACTGCCAAAGGCAGGGAAAAATAACGGGAATCAAAATACCATTCTAGTTCCTGCATAATTGTTCCATTGTTGG